CAAAGATTCCCACTTCAACTCTATGTTGTCTCAGGTTTGAATTTAAAATTAAATCGTTTGTTTTCTCTACTTGTATGCCCAATTGCTCTGGTTTTGATTTAGATGATTGTTCGCCTTATGTGGAAGGGCCTTTCCTCCGTTGAAATTTTTGGGAAATTAAATTATGCCTGCCCCCCCTTTTTTTGAAACAATTGATCAAATTGATGAACAGTATTATTCTCTTCTGCTGGCGTAATTACGCATATGTTATGAGGAAACATATCATGGGATCTTGGAGAATTAATTTCTATATTATGTGTCTGCTAAACCAGATCCGTGATAGAAACAAGTTGTTAAATGTTGCTAATTTCCCATTAGGCAGCTATAATTTTATTAGCCCTTTTGTGTTGGGCTAAAGGGGGAGGCAATCGGATTGAACAATCCTGGAAATTTTAATGATAGGATGCGATTTGATATTTTGATGGTTTTGACGAATTTTTGTGCTCCTGCCTTTGAATGAGGTTGTAATATATTTGCGTTCGTTTATTTGTTTGTGCTTGAGAACAGATGGTAAGGGGGGGAAAGGTTGGGGGCAAACGCAATTTCAGAAAAAGGGTTCGGTCAAAGGAAGGGGGTTCTGATGATTCGGATGAGGACTATGTGGTTCCAGATGAAGATAGGGATTTATCTGATTGTTCGGAGGATTCAGTATCTTCTTTAGATGGATGTGAATCAGAGGAGAGTTTTGATAACTTTGTAGAGGACGAGGAGGAGGAGGAAATTGGAATAAGGAGGAAATTCAATAGATCCAAGACAAAAAATGGCATTTGTGTTCGGCAGAAAATTGGCAGGAAACCCTCACAACAGAGAGGAAGGATAACTTGTTCACATAACCTAGAAGAAGAAGAAGAAGAAGAAGAAGAAGAACAAGAACAAGAACAAGAAGAGGAGGATGATGAAGAGACAGATGAATATGAGGAAGATGATGGCGATGAAGATTTTGATTGTGATGAGGATGAGGAATTTACACCTGAGGAAGAAGATTACTCAGACGAAGAAGAAATAAAGGGGAGAAAGAAGAAAAGTAATGGCATAAAAATGGACAAGAAGGTGGGGCAGAAGCGGGCCTCTGTAACTTATACCAGAGGTCGTAAAAGAAGAAGAAATTCTAGGGCGGCAAGGAAGCCCTTGAGAAAGAAGAGAAGAAAGAATGGAGGGTTGAGGAGGAAAGCAAAGTATGATGATGAGGGTGACTTCATAGATAATGGTCGTACCATCAGAACCAAGAGTAAGAAAAAACCAGGACGAAAAAGGAGAAGACTAATTGTTGACTCAGATTCGTACTCAGATTGTGTGTCATCTAGATCATCTGATTATGATTATACCATCTCTGAAGAAGAGAGAGAACAGGTGAGAGAAGCTGAGGAATTGTATGGAAGTTTGAGAACTAATTTGAGGAGTTCATCCCTTCTGACAAAAAATGAAGAGGATGGAGTCCATGAAGATCTACATCAGCAAAGAAAGCCTCCGGCCCGGAAAGGTAAGGAAAAGATAGAGGAACCTCAGGGGAGAAAGGGCAAGGACAAGGTAGAGGATTTGAAAAGTGAGCCAGGAAAGCAGGTTTGTGGAATTTGTCTCTCTGAAGAAGATAAAAGAAGAGTAAGAGGAGTACTAGATTGCTGCACACACTTTTTTTGTTTTGCTTGCATTATGGAGTGGGCAAAAGTGGAATCTCGCTGCCCTTTGTGCAAGCAGAGATTTAAAACAATCAGTAAGCCTGCACGATCAACAACAGCGGGGGTAGATTTGAGAGGATCAGTTATCCAAGTCCCTGAACGTGATCAGGTATCCAAATTCTTCCTCAACCCTTTTGTTTAAGGTTTTTTACTTTCCAACTGGCTGTCCTAGTTGATGGAGGGTTGATTTTGATATGCAGGTTTATCAGCCCTCTGAAGAAGAACTCAGGAGCTATATTGATCCGTATGAATATGTAATTTGTTCAGAGTGCCATCAAGGTGGAGACGATGGCCTCATGTTACTGTGTGATCTTTGTGACTCTCCTGCGCACACATATTGTGTTGGTCTGGGTCGGGAAGTACCTGAAGGCAATTGGTATTGTGATGGTTGTAGGCCAGTTGCTTTGGGATCTTCAAGCTCTCAAGTTCAGGAAGGTGTGGCTGATTCAAGGGCAACAATAGGTCAGAGCCTACCTGGTAGACCATCGCCTGCTGGACATGCTAGAGATATTATTGACCTCAACTTGATGTCTTCACCACGTGCAGCTTTTAGTCAAGGATTTGGAAATTTTTCTTCTAGATTTTCTGGTAGAAGTGTTGAAGGAGCTTCTCCAGTGTCTGGAGGAGGGGCACCAACTTTATCCGAGAGACGTTGGATACACCGTCAAATTCAACAATTACTTTCAATGGATAGAATGACTTCTGCTCCTGGTCGATCTAATGGCGTTTCAACTACCAATTCAACTAGTAACCTATATGGCTCTCAAAATGATCAAAGTAGGGTAACAACCACTCAAGACACAAGGACACACACGTGGGAACATCATCATATCACTCATTTTTGGAGGAAAGATTATGCAACAATACCTCTCCACTAATGCAGAATGGGGATCATTTCTCTATGAGAATAAGCAATTCAAGAAGGCCAGTGGTTCAAGATTCAACTCCATTTACCAACAGGTCTTTGAATGGGGCATTTTGGCCTGGTCTTGTGGGAACACCTCCTGTATCAGATTATGAACAAGTCCATCAGCTTAGCAGCAGTTCACACATTGTTGCTGATGGTAGCATGTCCCCTGCTATTAGAGAAGAGAGTAATTTTCACATAGTAAAGGAACAATTGTCATCACTGGTTAAACGCCACCTTATGAGCTTGTCACAAAATATTGATTTAGGTATGTGACTTCTCTTCCATTAGCTAAAAACGGTTCATTTCTACAAATTTTTTCAATGGCCGCCCTTTGCCACGTCTAGGACTGAAAATTATGGGTGAAAGTTGTTAACTTATATGAATGGGAAACATAGCAGAATGTTCTTTTGGGGTTTGGGGTGATGAATTTGGGGGAGAATATATGTACCTTATACCAACATTAATCTTGGAAAGAGTAAATGCAAGATGAACTTGTATTATGTTAAAATTAACAAATTTATGCTTCTAATAACTCCCCCTCAAAAAAATTCATATTATGGATGAATGTGTACCCTAACAATTTTTCGTAGCAATGTTCCGTGTCTTTTAATTTCCCTCATGCCTTTCCTATTTGTTTGATTCAGGCAACAGTACCATCAAGGACATTGCAAGGATTTCTCTGAACACCATACTAGCAGCTTGTGGTCTTGAGCACAAGAAGGGCGAGGTTTGCGCTGTGCCCCCTCCTTCAGCCTGTCCCCACATTGAACTAATGGCTGGTGGGCAAACGAGTCTGATTAAAGGTTGCTGCTCATCTTGCTTTGATTCCTTTGTAGGCGACGTGGTTAAGAGGATCATGGACACAAGAATGTCGCAGTGGTTGCGACTAGGCCTTTAGGCATTATTGCATTGAGTCCAGAGGCACACCTTTTTTGTCAGTAGTTAAGGAAGACAAGAATGTGTCATTCACTTGTTTATATGAATATCATTCACTAACTTAATTTGTTGGGGACACATACCTGTATTGGGTGCTCATTCAGAAATCAATCGAAAATAAGCCTTAAATTTTCATCCTTTATTGTCATGTTAGTGATAATAGTAGACTTGGGTTCGGGCGAAAGCTATGTTGAGCCGAATGTTTGAAAGAGCTCAGTTTCCTTCATTTTTTTTTCTCGACATAATGATTTTGGTCATTTTAGCCACAAAAGAGGTGAACGTAGTTGACCTCCATCACCGAGTGTTTATATATACGCGTGTGGTGGTATGGTCTTCTATTGATGGTGCAGGAGACGTCCCACTCTACCTGCTGTGAAAAGGTCAGGGAAAATGGCCCTGTAGTACAACTTCAGGCTTTTCCGTCTTATTTCAATGTCATTGGCTGAGCCGTTAACAAAATATGACAAAGAAAGGGCAGAGCAAGTTACCGACCAAATTATAAATGTTTTTTTATTCCTGTGAAGGAAAAATGGGGCTGTATTCTGATTCCATTTTGAATTTTCTTTTTTTGGTTTGATTTTGTTACCCGGTTCATGTAGGAATTGTAATTCCACAATTAAGTAACTTCCTTATTATTACTATGACAAAAAGTTTAAAAATTGGAATAGATGTAACTACTTTATCGTTGAATTTTTTTTTTTTTTTTTTGGTTTTTGGAAGATAGTTGTCTCTCGTTTAGACAAAATTTCTCTTATACCATAAATTTCACAAAGCTGATGCTTTCTTGGTTACAAGATACGAGAGAAGTATAAAAAATAGCCCAAGTGTTACTCATTCACCCTTCATACGTACTGTCCTTCTTTCGTTAGAATTTTTTTTCACTTTTATTTTGAGAAAATTATAAAAACAGACCCTAAAAATAAAAAATTACATACAAAAAATTGCTATCATTTGCTTAGCTGTCAAAACTAATATTAATGTTGTAATGAGTCTTTATTTTAAATTTTTTAAATATTTTCATGACTCTTTTTTTTTGCGCCTTGCCTGTAAAAGTATATTTTATATTTTAAAAATGTTTGAATGGATTTATTATTTTAAATGACTTTATACCATCCAAAATAAATACATGATTTTTTTCTCAAATACTCATGAAAATTTCTCAAACAAACGCCCAGATATTTTCTTTTTTGAGGGAAAATGTAAGATACGTTTAGATGTTCTTTATTTTGAGAGAAATAGTTTTGTTTTCTTTATTCCATTGGGTGCAAAAACTAACTCAACTGGATGCATTTCCATACATTTTGCGTGGTACTTAGAGAGAGAGAGAGATATATATATATATTTTAATGTATTGTTATCGATTGATTCTTATTAAACTCTAAAATTAAAGCTCATTGATCGAAAATAAGATACGTTCTAGTTTCCTCAAAGCGCAAATGTTGATGCAATGAAGACCATCATAGAATGATTCAGAACGGATTGTTCATATCAAAAAATGAAGGCCAAGACCTAATTTCGTATAAAGCACAAGCCTCTACTACTTAATGGCCCACACGGTAGTTGTAACGTTCCACGTTGAATTATTTAATTTGTAGTCTAGTATCTGTTTAATGGTCTTAGTTCCACTAAATCTGTGGTAGGCACAGCTACCCCTCCAGTTTGTCGTGCAGTTCACCTGCTGCTTGTTCTCTTTTTTCATTTGGTTACACCGGAAAAAAGGCTCATCATGTCGCTTCGTTGTTAGCCCCAAAGTTTCTACGAATTTGAAATGTCCTGTTTTGATAGCTATGCCGACATAACAAAATACAAACAGCAGCTCTCGCGGTATAAAGAAACTTTTTCGTGTTCGCTCAAGCTTTATGACCCGAAATAAAAGGATTATATGAGACTTCTGACCTGAAAACTATAGTGCACATGCAAAATATGTATATTACCCTCCCTTGCTGTTGCTGCACGTCATTTCATTCTTTGATCAAATGCATTTCAGACTTGCGAGGCACATCCTCAATTGGAGGTAACCTTATTCTGAATTAAGGCCAACTGCAGCAGCGGCAGCATGAAAAACTCCCTTCATACATTGTCATCAAGTATAGAGCCCGGCTTTGACAAACTCGCATCTTCCTTCTTTCTCTGTATTGTTCTTGACAGAAAGGCTACAAAAATTAACATTTGACATACATGTATCCTCCCAACAAGGAATAGTGCACTGTTGTGGGAATTTTTTTTAAAAAAAACCAGATATAAATAGTTGTAGGCAAATAATATCTTCTGGGTCTTCTGAACTTGGAAATAAATTATGGTGACATCACATGATTGGCACAAGTGAGAACATATGAATTCCTAAAATACTAATATAGTACCTTCTATCCCTAATATAAGAGTTAGTTTGATTTTTAATTTGATCCTAAATATAAACCTCAATGTACTTTATCTCTCACATTTATTCATTTTTTCTAAACTAGTCCTTATAGAAGTTACACATGTTAAAAGTTTTATCAAATAGTAGTTTTAATTAATACACATTATGAGCAAGATTAGCAAAGGTATTTTAAGAAAGACAACACCTATTTATTACAAATAACTAACTTAACTAATTTCTTTAATCTACTCAAATCAGTTAATTAGTTCTTGTATTAACGATCGAAGGTAGTATCTGATTTGAAGAAAGAAAATAACTCATCAAATAACCCGTTCAGTCCAGTAACTATTAAGAAAAGCTTTTGATGCTCTCCAGAACAAATTTTAGATCAGGCAGGCCCTTGCTTTGGATTAGTAGTAATTTAGACAACCGCACCTGTATAATCTTCTGTCTTTTGTTACAGATATTTATAGACTTTGGTGCAACCCCCCACCCGACATCATACTTGAGTTTTTTATAATCAACATCTATCCTAGTTTGATTTGAAAGTTATGCGGCGCATTGATGTCACGTCCTGAATTATAGATTTTCAGAGCACTGAATAAAATAGAGGAAGAACCACAACTTTCCAAATAACTAACAGCAGCATGACGGACTTGCTGCTCACCTCTTTAGAAGAAAAAACAGACGACTTAACCGCAAACAAAAAATTTCAATTATTAAGAAATCAATTACTTTCTCTGAGCTTTCTCCATGGATGCCAAAAGCACCGCAGATAAGGATACTACCAGTACCAGTCTTCGTCTACATTCTGTCACTGAATAGGCATACATGAATCTAACATTTAGACATCACTTCATGGAAAACCAAACATGTCAGGGCATCTGTGAGGAGATTATCTTTTGTACAGAGAACATCAGAAATGAGACGAGCAACTTGCTCCAAGCATCCTTTCATGATGAAAGTTTCAAGTAGCAATGCTCCCCAGCCCCCCTACCAATTCTCAGGTAGGTGTGTCAGTGTTTTTGTTTGGGGGGGGGGGGGGTGCAGAAGAAGCACGGCAAACCGGTAGAGAAGATAACTATTTTGGTAAATTTCAGAACCAGACGTTTAAGATTTTAAATCCACTCAAACCCTTACTTCAATTTGATGGGTAAGGGAGGCAGAGCAAATAAACCAAAACGGTAAGGGAAAATAATTTGGCCTCAGCGAATAGCAATCATACAGGATTACAAGGAGTCTCGATCTGCTTAAATCATATCATATCACATTCACATTCATGGTCCAACGTGATACTTTTTGAGAAGGTTGAATGCAAAATAAAGAGAAAAAAATAGAAAAGGCAGGGTGATTTGGATAGAGAGGCTAAACACCATGATACTGTTACATCGTATTAACTTTACTGCAGCATTTCCCCCTCTCGTTTTCACAAGTCTCAGAATTCAAAGAAAGCTAGATGCAGTATACTTTTAAGTATCAATGACATTGCAAAACCTAAACCACAAAGCGGAACTCTGAAGTGTTAACACAAAGTTCAAGGCACTGGGTTTAGTTTAAGGTAGTCTCAATTTTAATGCATACCTGATATAAAAGCTATGTTCTACAATTGTTATTTAAGATACCAGAATCCTAAAGACCCCCTTTCCGAGCATGGATCGACATTTCCCCCCCTTTTCAAGCACCATAAAGAACAGGCTAATTCTGACATGTGATATAACTATGATTAGTATTAGTATATGTGATAAATCTAAATATCAATGATATAGATTTTCAAGGCACTCCAGCGTTCCGAAGTTCTCAAGGAACCGAGGAAACCAAATACAAAGCATGAAGGAAATGTCCTCCTTCAAACAGCAGGAAGATGCCTAAAACTCACAGTAATAACATATCAATGTTTCAAAAGGCCCAAATTATCCATAACATCAGATGGATACAATGGGATGTCACCATGAACAGAGATACTATTGCACAGTTTGAATTGAAAACTGCAGCAAGCATACCTGCTTGATACAATCGCATCCGAGCTTTCCTTGGCTGGCCTTGTCTCGATAATATCATATCATTTTTCCTCTAGAATCATTGAAACGCCTCAAATGAACTATGAGAACAAATAAAGCACAGAAAAAGCCTTCACGCACGGCATAGGGAAAACAAAAATTAAAGCTCTTCCAGACGAACAAGAGAGAAATTAAATTTAATAGAAAATTAAATAAACAGGCAAAACGGGGGCCAATTGAAGAGGTGACGACAGGGGAGAGTTGAACTGCATGAAACCTGATCGGGATAGAAGAGCAGCCCGATAGCACTTAGAGGCAGGCGACAGACGAGTGCTACAAGAGGAATCGGTGCCCATAGCTGCCATGAACGAAACTCGGAAACAGAAAGGGTCATTGGAGCGGGAGGACTTTTGGGGTTGATGAGGGCGTGAGCTCAGCTAGAAGAAAATGAGGTGGCGCCCCGCTGAGAGTTTCGTCAAGCCGCCAAG